ATAATGATTAACAAGTGAATTGACACCATTTACTATAAATCAATTTAAAATTGTTCAAAGAAATGTAAAGTCTCTTTGAACAATTTTAAATTGAATTTGTAGTAAATGGTGTCAATTCACTCATTAAGCATTATTTGGGGTGTTCTTCAATTTTGTTCTTTTCTTCATTCTCTAACATGTTTGCTGAAAAGTGTCAGATTCAAACCAGAAACAGTAAACATGTTAGAGAATCTTGAAAAGAGAAAAAGGTTTGTGTAGGAACTCTTTTCATTTTAAGGCCAGAACTTGCCAATCCTCTTCCTGAATGGAACAAACTTCAATCAATATCCATTTCAAAGAGTGAAAGGGGCTCTCGAAAAGGTACAAAGTGCAGCACAATTTCAGCTGCATCAAAAGGTGCCAATATAAATTTAATAGGCAGTGTCAGCAACCTGGGACTAATTTATAGTGAAGTCAGGTGGTGATCGTACACAAATAACTTGGTGTGTGATTTCATTAAAAAAGACAAGGAAAAGTATGGTTGATCTGTCATTCTTGTCATTGACATTGACACCTTGCCACTCAAAAATCGAGTCAGTTTTAGATGAGGAGGAATCCAATTGAAAATGTCTGGTCAATTTTCAAAGATGAAGTTAAGGGGAAATTCTAATGAGAGAAAAGTTAACTTTGAGCATCAAAGAGTATTGGCTCCAGACCATAGAAAATTATATAAATGTTTCCCTTGCAATGGTGACACCAGCAATGTGCTCAAATTTCATTGCAGGCATCAAAGGCAAAATCACAAAAACCTTAGATCTGGAAGAGTTGAGATTTTTTGTTAACATGCTTTATTTATAATGAAGATTCAATCATTTTCTACTATAGAATTATTTTTTATATTTTGTATTCGTTTGGTTCAAATGATATTTTCAAATTTAAAGTTAAAAAATTTGACTGAATTAACTCCCTTGATGTTTCGCAGGGTAGAAGAAAAATATTTATGGTAGTTTATAATAGTTATTTTTCTGCCAGATTTAACATTGTTTAAATATTCATGTTTTTAATTGTTTTTGTTTAAATATATATATATATATATATATATATATATATATATATATATACACACACACATTTATATAAAAAATTTCTACAATTGATAATGTTCTAAGACAACATATTTTTAAAATTTGTAATTTTCATATCTTTCAGTATGCCTTTCCCATAAATTGCCAAATTATCCAAGAAAAACAGATCAAGTACTGGTGGCTTTTATTTTCAGAGGTACAAATTTTGTTGACTACTCAGCTATAGCCAACAAACATTTGGTGTCAGTAATTTTGTACATAAGAAACAAATCGATTAGTTATCTCTTTAGGCATGCAATAATAAATTCTTGTGAAGTCAAAACAGAAAGAATGTTTATTTACAATAATTTATGTGAAAAAAACAACTTACTGAAAAATCTTATTTTGAGTGCCTAAAAGAAAATTAAGCTCAGTACAAGAAAAATGTTCATAAGAAAGCAGGGAATTATATTATTAAAAATGTTCTTAGTAGAGAGGGAAAGAGTGATAGCAAAGTTCATAAGGTGCTGTTAATTTTTCTATGTTATACTGGCTTGATAGCTCAATGTAGCAGCAGAAGTATTTGCTGTTGAATGAGATGTCAAGTGAATGCCAGTTATTGTAAACTTGTAGAGGTCCATACAGACTTGAAGAATTATAGTTGCATGAGTAAATTGTCTTCAACCTCTGAGGACAGCCTGTGGGTTTGTTTCAGGCATACATGTTCAAAATTATCAGTTTTAAAGTTTTGTATGATATCCTACGTCCTCCTTTCACAACACACTACTGAAAAAATAATTGATCTACTGACTCCATTTGCTTAGCTCTACTACAAAAAATAGTAAATGAACCAGATGGCTGCTTCCCTTATATTTGTACTGGGTAGCTCCCAAGCCACCTTTCAAAAATTGTCACAGGTTTCAAATATTGATGTATATTTGGCTTCCACATTTCTGATTGATTGAAAATAATTCAGAGAAGGAGGTCTTTTCTCAAATCCGTTTTTTCCAGAATATTCCCTTTTGTTGCCATAACCAGGCTCAGGAACAAGGATTATCAAAAAAAGTCCCATCTGAACATCAATTTTTTAGAAATGTTTTTGCTCCAGGTAGTGGAAAGTGGCAAAAGGTCAAGGTAATTTTTTTTACATGTAGGTTTTTTTATATATAATATATTATAAATAATAAGTCATAGATCAATAAGATATAATAACCATCATGATGAAAAAGAAATTTTCAGTTTCTGCTAAAAGTTAACCTTGTGAATAGTCCAAATGTAAATCATGTACATTTGAGGAATGAAGACTGTTATGATAGAGAAAAAAATATTACAAACAATTGTTACAATTACTATAGACAGTAGATTGAAAAGAGGGGAAAAAACACAAGCTGGGTGGTTTTCATTTCTTACTATTAAGAGTTCAATCTGGAACTTAAAAAGATTTTGCATAATGATTAAAATAGGGGGAAATCAGTAAAGGCATTATATATATATATATATATATATATTAGTGTAGGTCAGTTTTTCCTAAATCAACTTTGGACAAGTTGAGATAGTTGTGACATAATGAGATAAAAACTGACATCAAATTTTAGACTTTTTAACTTTTAACCCCCATCTGAAGAAATGTAATCAAAAATTGGCAATGAAAATGTGCTTAAAAAGCCATTCATTTTGGCAATATTTGATTGAAAATGCTATTATTTCAACAGTAAAATTTGTTTGCTATTTAAAAAAAAAAAAATTACATGAAAACTAATTCAATCCAAATATTTAATATAATCATATCTCTCTTCAGAGTTTTGATGGGTATCTACCTCTGGTCCACATGCACATTAACCTGGTTGCTAAAGTTAACCATCTTGCATTACTTAATGGTCCAATTTTCCAGGCAGCAAATATAGAGTAACTTTACCTTTGGTCTTTACTTAGAACCCTATTTTCACAAATTCTACTTGTGGCAAGTCATGATAGTCTCTTTCACACTTTTGTCTAGTGGGTTTGTAAGAGGAGTCTAGCTTCTTCTTGTACCATCAACATATTTAAAAACAGCTCTGAATGGTAGGTCATTCTGATGTAATGAACAGATAATTGTATGTAATTTCCGATGGAACTTCACCAGAGCAGTTACAAAGCCTACTTTACATCCAGTATTTGTATTGTCCAGAAGAACAGCCTATCAAATTCTTCCAAAACACTAAATCCTCATTTGTTAGAACACCAGTGTCACCTGTAGTTAAAACTACTCTATAAAGTCAGGTATTTTCCTGTCTCTTGAGTAATTGTTAAATGGTGTTCTGTGACACTTTCTTTTGTTAGTTTAATATCACCATTTCCCCTACTATATACAACAAAGTTTTGTTATTAATCTTGCTATCAACTCCTAAACAGACAAGATTTTTAATTAGTACCTTCAGTATCATTCATGTTTAATTTTAGGCCTATCAATTATAACTTTTTAAAAAATGAAGGCCTGGGTTAAAAAGGCCCATAAATCTAAGAGAAAAGCATTTAGCAACAGATTAGAAGGAATATCTCTTGTATTTTGCATTTTTCTTCAGACATTTTAATAAAATGTTTGAAAAAATATTACTCTAGGAAATAAATTAAACTACACGATCAATTTATATTTTATTTAAAAATTTTGCAATATTTTTTTTTACCTTATATTTCTTAAAAGCTTCTTATATAATTAAAAACAAATGCACAATGATATAATGGTGTAAAGGCACAGAATCACCCACAAAATTTAAAGTGAAACTGATGTTTTTTTATCATTTAGTGTTTCTCTGAAATAAAACTATCACTTAAAATAAATTAGGACATGTTTCATTTATGAATGATTTTAATGAATTCATTGTGAAAAAATTTTCATAAAGAAAAATAAACTAAAAAAAAATTTTTTTTTAATCTTAACATAGCCTATGATTTGAATACATTGATATTGCCTTTTTTGACTACATGTAAATTTATTTTAAAGTAAAATTGATAAAGCATGTTATTTCTTATAACAATTATATGCATATTATTATGTTTATCTTTTCCAGTATTTTAAAGAAATATTAAACCTCAGTTTTAAATTGATTCATATTAAATTTCTTAGACTAATCTGGCCTGGTTATTTCTTTCAGTTAATGCCACAACAATCTCAGAGATATTAATTAATTTGATTTTAATTGTATTTCTCAAATGGAATCAAAATTTTAATATATTAAAATATTTTGAATGTAGTTTTATGATATCATTCTCCAACTATCTAAACTTGTTCAAGAGTCTGGTTTAAAAAAATCAATCTATATATATATATATATATATATATATATATATATATATATATATATATATATATATATATATAATGCACACACATGTATTAATAATATACCAATATATGTATATAAAACATTACATGTAAATTACAAACTGAAAACCTCTGCTATTTGCAGAGGGAGGGCAGTAAAAATAATGTATATTCATAAATTTTCAACATTAGATTAACAATAAGAAAAAAGCATTGTTTTTGCATTGTTAACATTAAAAATATAAAGTATTTTTGCAAAGTAAAGAGTAACATTATTTTTATGATTAATTAAAAAATAAGTTTCATTATTAATTCGATAAAATTCTTATTGGTGACATAACTTCTTAGAAATTGTCTTTTTATGTCCACTTGTGAAAGTTTTTTGTATTAACTGCTTTTTCAGTTATCTACAATTATTTTCATCCTGGAAAAATATTTGATTTATTTTGCTGTTTAGGCATTTCTGTTTTATAAAATTTAATTAAAATCCTCAAAATATTCAGGTCTTGGAGATTTTGAATGTTTATGAAAAAGATCATGATGCTCCAACAGTTGAGGAAGAAACAGATTGAAATAGCTCACTTACTGTTGAAAACTAGTGTACATTGTTATTAGCAGCATTTTCTATTTAAGAAACACTCTTTAGAAACAAAAATTTAAATGTTATCAAAAACATAATTTTCCATATTGGCTTGATCAGACCAGGCAGCATATCGAGCTCCATCCATTTCTGATGCAAGGGTATTACCGGATTCCAGTGCATGGTTTTCTCCTCCAATAGTCAAACCACATTCTGGACAATTAGCACGTTGCATTGCCCCGCCACATTCACCTATCACATAGAAATGACCTGAAATACACACAAAAGTAGATTGAGAAAAATGCAAAAAGCAAGCAAATATTCACTAAGGCATTATCTTTTTGATAGGGACAAAATGTGTTCATTTTAAATGGAATTATATGAATAGATTGGAGAGTTATTATCAGGTCACCCTATAAGTTCTGTCCGAATTTTAACTTTTTGTTAAAATAAACAAAATTTAAAGAGTATTTTATAATATCTATTGGAGTTGAACATTATTTTTATGTTTAGATGCATTTAAACTGATCAAATCTTATTTCAGAGAACAATAAAATTAAATTTTGTTTGATTAAAACCCTGCTAACATGGAAGTACCCAAGAATCATTTGAGGCACATAATGCTTTATGAGTTCAAGAAAGGAAACTCAGCAGCCGAAGCGGCTAGAAACATTCACTCAGTTTATGGAGAGGAATGTGTGAATGAAAGAACTTGCAGAAGATGGTTTGCAAAATTCAGAGGTGGAGATTTCACCCTAGAAGATGAACCGGACGTCCAGTTGAGTTTGATGAAAAGCTTCTTGAAGCAGCCCTTGAAGAAAATCCTGCTTTATCAGTTGAGGAATTGGCAGTGGTTCTCAGATCAAACCATACAACTGTTCTTTGTCATCTTCAACAACTTGGAAAAGTTCCTAAACTTGGAAAATGGGTGCCTCATGAGTTGTCTGAAAACAATCTCAAATCCAGAGTTGACATCTGCTCTTCTCTCCATTCTCGCCAATTTGTTTCACCTTTTTTGGATAGACTTGTGACTGGCAATGAAAAATTAGAGTGTTTGAACCAAGCTTTGAGAAAAAAAAAGACCTGCTCTAGTGAATCGAAAAGGGGTGATGTTTCATCAGGACAATGCGCAACCCCACACAGCAAGAATCATGTCACAAAAGATTGAAGAACTTGGTTGGGAGAAATTCCTCATACACCTTATTCTCCGGATTTTGCTTCTTCAGACTACTATTTGTTTCATAGCTTACAGAATCATTTGGAAGAAACAGTTTTTGTAACACAGGAAGAGGTTAAAACTGACATTTGTGAGTTTTTCGAATCAGAGCCAAAAGAATTTTACAGTAATGGAATTAGTAAGCTTGTTAATAGATGGAAGGAAGTCATAGATAATCAGGGAAAATACATTGTGGATTGAATCTGTAATTAAATGTAACATTTGGTCACTTGTTTTCTTTATTCAAAATTCGGACAGAACTTATGGGATGACCTGATAGAATCTAAGATTTTTAAGCCAATTAACTTTCAAATATTTCTGAAAAAAACAACAAAACAAAACAAAAAACAAACAAACAAACAAGATCCAACTCAATGCAAAAATATTGGTGTAAGAAAGTTGAAGAATTAAATGCAATGAGTTGCATCATAGATTATCTTTTATATAAATAAGATTCAATTTGAAAAGCATGTCATAACTGAATGAAAAATTATTTTCAATATTCTAATTCAAAATTTGAAAAGTTTGACTATACTTTTTTACAAATAAATTATTTTATTATTGGACATTTTATCAGAATAAATGATTTATTAATTACATTAATATACAAAGATGATTTTGTGTCAAAAATAATACAGAAAAGTGAAAGTTTACCTTTTGGACATTTGAACCAATGACCAGTTGGAAGTCCTATTGCCTTGACAATAGCAATTTTTTCTTTTTCTGAAATTACAGGAATTAATTCTTTAAGATCTTTCTCTATTTTAGAAATTTTATCTTTAACTTTTGAATAATCTTCAGATTTCAGCATTTGCAAACCCTGTTCTATCAAGTGTTTGACCTTTAATTCATGCATAAATTTTATTTTGACCTTGTAAAATTTATGAATTTTTCTAATACGTTCCATTTCTGTCTCAATCTCTGTCAATTCAGTTTCAGAAGAGATATTTTTATGGTTTAAAATCCACTGTGATAAATCCCCAAAGTGCTTCTGCAAAGAAAAATCCTCTTTCAAAATATCTTCCTTCATTAATTCAGAAAGGAACAAAAGAAATTTAATTCGCAGACTAAATGAATGCCAATAAAACAAAGTTGTCAGAGCATTTTCTGACTGGCAACATTCATCTTGAAGATGCCTCCGGTAATCTTTATGTACTTTATAGAGATCTGTTTTGATCTCCTTAATCAGTTGATTGATTTCTTGTCTATCCCCAATCATTTTGCTTTTAACCATGTCTATATCCATTAATGTCTTGTTGATAATCTGTCCATAGCGTAAATTTCGTCTGATTGGAACTCTACATTTTGGACAAAATTTTAGCTGGATTTCACCAGCTGTTTCTTGGGACATCCATTCATCAAGGCCAGATTTTTCAAAAATATGCCCACAATCCTCTAATTCTACAAAGCGTACATCTTCTTCATCCTCTGTGCCAAAAAAGATTTCCGTCAATTCTTCTTTATTACACACACGGCACAAACGAGGACATTTTTCACCACACAATCCAACACACTGGTGACCACAAGGAAGATGTTTCAAACAAGCCTCATCACACTTAGGACGATCACAAGACTCATGACAGTATCTATTACACTGATAATGATCACAACGCCATTCACATGGTTCCTTGCAAGGCATGCATATTTCTCCACACACCTTCATGCATTTACTGTGAATGCATCTATTCTGACAAGGTTTCAGGCAAGGTGAACAAACATTGCATTGCTCATTCTGGCACTGGTGACCACATATTAACAGTCGCCGACACCCTTCAGAGCAGAGGGAATGGATCCGTCGCTCAAAACACTCTCCACAAGTACCACTGCACTGATGGCCACAATCCAAACGCTTTCTGCATGCTTCAGGACAGACAGATGATTGCAGGTAACAAGGCAATTTTACAGTATGTTCACAAGGATATGATTTGGAGATATAAACAAGGCATTCATAGGTACAAAAATCACCACATAATTTCATACACTGATGACCACATGGCAGAAATTTCTCACAGGCTTTTTGGCATTTAAATAAGTTTGGATTTTCAGAACAGCCCATCATTTGCTGATGGTTACAATTTGGAATATTTTTGGGCACCATCTTCATGCAAGGTGTACATTTCTCTGAGCACACATGAATGCATTTATGATAATCTGGGCAGTTGGGTGCAGTCTTGGTGCATTTTTCCAAACAGTTGTATTCATCATGGTCATCAACTGGATGACAGAGGCGTTTACATGTGTGTCCACATTTAAGACGACTTTCACATGGCTTTAAGCAACCCCCTTCAGGAGCTTGTGCAAAATCTGAATCAAACCTGACCTGAATGCTACGATTTGGGTGGTTTGCACAGCAAAGTGTCAGTGCATGACCAACCAACTCCTGGGATTTTAACATCAATAAAATGCTATTCCACAATTTGCTCTGTTCAGAAAATATTTGGAAATTCCCAATCACATAAAAACCAATTTTAGCTCTGGATAGAGCTACACAGACTCGGTTATCACTTTTTAAAAATCCAATTTTTCTGTCTTCATTATTTCTTACCAAAGAAAGTAATATTATATCATTCTCTTCTCCTTGGTAATTGTCAATCACTGTCAGTTTTACCCCTTTAAAAATTGTATTTTTCATTAAATCTTTAAGCATGAAGAGCTGAGCTGTGTAAGTTGTTAGAACTGTAATTTGAGATTTGTCGTAACCCTGTTTCAGAAGATATTTACACAATTCTACAATGAAATATGCCTCATGAGGATTAGTATAACTGACAGATTCCGTATTGGTTCGTTCAGGATTATTATGTTGAATGAAATAGATATTGGTTTTAAGTCCTTTGATATTTTCATATGATTTCACAGATGAATGGTCATGCAAGTCTGGGTAAATTGTATGCAGCAGTTGAGAAATTTCCGGTCGCATGCGATGCTGATACGAGAGAGATTTCACTTGACATTCATTCAGGACCATTCGTTCAAACAAGGAGATTTCCAAGTTATAGTTGCGAGCCAATTCATATACATTTGGATTGGGACGAAGTTGCTTATGGTCCCCAATCAAGATTAATTGTTCACACATTGGATTCAAGGATGTAACAATATGGGCCTCCAAAATTTCAGCTGCTTCTTCTACAATTATGATTTTGGGCTGAATTTCTTGCAGTAAGGTATGGTACCTGGCAGCTGCTGTTGTTGTCATTCCAATGATGAGGGAATTTTTCATTATTTCCCCATCTTCATAATGCAGGAGTTCTTTATAGGCTTGGGAGGCATTGTTATACTGGATTTCTTTTTGAACAATTTGATCTCGTAGTTGTTGACAATAAGATGCAACCCAAAAGTGATAAAGTTTCCATCGCTTTTGCTTTTTCATCAGCCATAAGTCATGGTAACGAATCTGGTCAACTTCTTCATCTGTCATCAAAATATTAGAATTCAAGTCTCTTTTCAATTGCTGTTTTTGTTTTTTTATATCTTGCTTGGTTTTTTGAAAACCATCTTGATCGATTTTTTTCCTTTTATCAAGGTCACTAAGTTTCAATGCTAAAACTTCATCATCATCCTTGATGAAAATTTCTTCATCCAATCTATCATTTGCCATCATACGATGTTGCTGAATGAAATCTATTTCTGTATATACTTGAACTTCATCTTCATCAACTAAATCTTCCTGCAGATCATCAACTGCTTCTACATCCTCGTTGACAGGATCTATCTCCAAAACCTGAATGTTTCCATAGCCTAGCCATTCAGTCATCAAAGAAGTCTTCCTGTTAGTTTGATTGACATAATTATCTTGAAAGCTATCTCTCAGCCATTCATGAAAGTGTCCCATATGATCTTCAAGTATGTCCTCATGAAGAATTCCATTCTTAGTCACTTTAATTTGATTCATTATTTCTTCAATTTGTAATTTTAAAGTTTTCAATTCACTCATTGCTGCATGTTTGTTTCTTATAAATTCACTAGAGAAAGATTTATTAATCCTGTAAATCTCTCTTACTTTGTTCAAAAAATACTTGTTGAGGACTTCACTGTTGCTTCTGCCTCCAACACGAAGAATACCATTTTCCATAAAACTGGCTATTCCTTCGAGAAACTTATCCAAGGCTTGGTTCGTGTAACACACAATCAGCATGGGACTTTTTCTATTTGACTGCCATATGTGGCTGTTACAACAGAGAGCCTTGACAATTTTCAGGCCAATGTAGGTTTTCCCAGTGCCAGGTGGACCTTGAGTTAGAGAAAATTCTTTAGTCAGAGCATTTTGTAAAGCCTGATGTTGAGAATTGTTTAATTTTAAAGCTTCTGCACATGGCCAAGACTCATGCAAAATATCCACAGTAAAACTGTTTGTCAGCTTTTCCTTAATTTTGACAACATTTTGCTCAGAAGAATATTGCAATTTACAGTCCTCATTTAAGCAGGCCAACTCCATTTTAACATGACTCTGTTGAATAAGATATTTAGGTGCTTTCACATTGCAACTGCCATTAATTATATAATCTTGAAATGGCATGTTATCATTTCTTATTTTTTTTAAGGCTGTCAGGATATGACGATAAGCTTCAAAATAAGCTGTTGTTTCAGCCATAATAAAAGCTGTTGTTGATGAGAGACGTGAGATATCTTCATGATTAGACAGAAAGAGGAGATCTATTAATCCCTCTTTCAATTCACTTTTATTTCTACCAACAACTGTGGCAAAATAAATAGTCTGGAAATCATCTGATGTCAGACAAACAAGAGAACCATAGAGAAGTCGCTTACTTTGTTCCCAATTAATCCGTTGGTATGATGTATCAAATGACACTTTATGGGCAATGCCATCAAGTGTGCACACTGAATATAAAATATGCACTTGATGGTAAATGCGTAGATCATCTATATGTTTGTGTTTCTGCTCATTTTTCAAGGCAAGGTATTGTTGAATGCCACTTCGCAATGGACTAAAAAAGTCCTCTCTCATCAGGCGGAACTGAACATCCAAATAGTGGTCAACATTATCATAAGAACCTTTCACTTTATTTTTTCGTAGAAATATTTTTTCTTTTGAATGAATTGCCTGGGCAGTTGGCATCAGTGGAACATCTCTAAAGTCATCAGGGGGCAACTCAGGCGAAGATAAAACGTTTTCAGTTTCTTGCTTTCTTTCTTTCTTCATTAATACCTGCAATAAATCTTGAAGTTCCTTATAATTTCTTTGCAGATTGTCTGCATCATCAATTCTGTCAGAAAAATCAAGTAAGATTACAGTCATAGCACCAATGATTTGAAGGGTGTTCATATACTCACTTGGGTTATGACTGAGAATTGTCTTCAGGATATACATGATATTCGATAAGAATTCAACAAGTCCTTCATTGGAAAGATTGATTTCTGCAATTAGCTGAGAAATATACAAAGGGAACTTTGTATGCAGAAGTAATGAAAGAATTTCATTATTCTTTTCTGTTAAGGAAACACTTTTCATACTTTTTTTAAGAACTTTTACAAACAATTCTGCAAAGCCATAGTCAAAAGGTTGGTTGAGAAGTCTCTTGAGGGAAGGCTGGCTTGAACTCAGACTGAAAGTAATTGTGTTTGGATCCTCAGTGAGCAATTCTTGTAACCTGGCTACTGTTAACTCATTGCCATTTCTGCGTCGGTGCAAAGCTTGGCGGGGTAATCGTTGGGCCCTTCAAAAATATAAAATCAACAGACAAGTTTTAATTAGTCAATTTCTAACAAAACAAAGAAAATATCAAAGTTATTAAAATGCACATTCACTGCACATTTATACCACTTTTTAGTGGAGTATGTAATTTAACCATTTCAAGTTCACATTCGTGTAATTGATGTCTACAGCAAAAAATATTATTGTTTGCTTCAGTAGACATATCTAAATGATTTTGACTTAGAAAAATAATATTGTTGAATGTATTATTATAAATATAACAATGGGACACTATATCCGGTTTATCCCATATCAATGTGTTTTTGGGACAATTATGACCCGCAGGATGTGTTGAAAACAACTGTGGGACACATATGTCCCAGGGGGATTCTAAAGGGTTAAGCCAGAAAATACCTGAGGTAGTTTGAACTGAATTTAATGTCTAGAAGAGGCCTTTGGTCTAAGAGGGATTGATCTGTGGTGACCTCAATATGTATTTAGGTTCACTCAAAGAGACTGATATTTCTTTTATACTCAGTGTCAAATCAGAATGTCAAAAGACCTGGAAGTTCTAAAGATTAACCTAGAAAAAGGACCTCAAAGGATGTTTGGTACATGAACCTAATAAAGGTAGTGAACCCAGTTGAAAGTAAGATACATGTACACAAGTGTATAATAAGAAGACATATAAACACTAGTGAATTAATGAA